TAGTGGAAAGCAATGACAGATGATATGGAACCACAACAAACGCTACAACAACTTCCACACTCGGACATGCAGTTGAAGCACGTGCAAATTACGGACTGGCTCATCGCGAAGGGTGTCGTGGACCCGACCGCAAAAAGCCTCTCCTGCAACGAATTTCGTTACTGGCGAAAAGAAGAAGTGTGCAGCCTGTTCGACCACGTCGACCCTGAGGTTGGCAATGTAGTAAGGGTTCCGGACCTGGAGTCATTCCAAATCCAGCTGTCTCCGGAAGAAGCAGCTGCGGGGCTCGGTCCGACTGATTTTGTCAAGCCGAGCTTGGAGCAGGTTGTGCAGTCAGCGTCAATGCTGGGTGCGCTTTGCGTAAACAGCAAAGGTGAATTCTGCATAAACCCCCCCCCAGGGTTACGCGACGCTTTCCCATGTCTGGGCCCAAGGTCTCGGGTCCAAGCCAGGGAGCCACGGTCTTCACCGAAGTCTCATCGAGCAGGTCTTTGACAAGGTGGAGCCCTTGAACGTCGGGTGGCTGTGGATAGATAGCCTGGCCATTCCCGGGAGCGGACATAGTCTTACAGAGACTGAAGAAGGGCTCAAGTCGAGACTGATTAACGCCATGGCCGATATTTATCGCCTGGCGCGCCTGGTGATTATTTTCGATGCACTCCTTCTTCGAACTCGGTCCCAGGATCCTCTAGTAATATCACCACTGCTCTGTTGTGGACGTGAGTTTTGAACAACACCCATTTGGTATTTACAGGTCCTAGATCACGATGCTAACGAAGGTATCAAATGTGAACAGAGTGGATAGCACGGCTCTGGACATACCAGGAGATCAAATTAGCGACAAAGGCCACCTTTGCTACTCAGTCAGGTTTTGTTTCGCTCAGCGCGATTGAGGAAAAGCTCAAGCAGACGGCGTGTGTTGATAGCTCCCACGAATCGAAGTACTATCGGATTCGCTCAAAGTTGAAAACCTTGTCGCGCGACCACAAAGCACAAAAACTTGGAGCACCTTTGAATCATGTCGCTTTCGCCTGCTTCAGGCGCGAGGCGACTATCGAGTTGGACTATGCACGAGCTATCTTCCCACTCTTAGGCCTCTACTGGAGTGTAAAGTTCAGTTTGGAAGACGCAATGGGGACAATCTATGAAGCCCGAAAGGACGAGGCCTGCCGCTTAGTTTTTACGTTCGGCATACCTCGAGCTCGCTACCCCGGCTGGGCTCCAGCAAGGTTTCCAGATATTGAGGCGTACAGACTAAACTGCTCGGGAAGGTGGAAGAGTCGGGGCCTGGAGGGAGAATGGCGCACATCCAAGGTATCGAGCGTGCTGTGGGAAAATGGGTGCGCGCGCAACGGCGATTTCAAGTTCTCCATGATACTTTGCGGGAGCAAAGAGATGGTAGGCCCGGACGCACCGCCGGGCTCGGTTAGCAAAGCGGCAGTGAATCGCGCAATCGTGGAAGGGTGTCCGCGAAGCTGGGAGCTGTTTGAGCAGGCCGTCAAGAAAGGCACGGCATACATCCTTCGTCCTGACCCACCAGTTGCGACACATTCAGACCTGCCTGTGCTCGCGGTCGAGAGGTTCACTAAGTCACCTGCCAATGAAGCTTGGGTTTGTTTCGTGGCATTCGAATGTTATGGTTTTGAAGGAGCAGACGAGACACTTGAGTGGCTGCTCCTTCACGAGAACCCCACCACCGACGGCGGCAAGGAGAGGTCAGAGCTGAACTATCTTCTCGAAGCCAAATCCCCAGAGGATCCGAACATTGACCCTCAGCTGTCAGCCAAGAATTGAGTAGGTAATTAATAAGAATAAGTCTGGCCTGGTCATTGCACTGAACACAGGTATTGTATCTAGGATTTTTGACAATCGTTCACTTGCCGTTGAAATAGAGGTACCTAGGTAGCATTCCATAAAAGCACCAGAGACAGCGGTACAAACCCCGACCGGCGGGATGAGGCAACCGACCAGTGCCGCAATCCTGTTGCCTTGGATAAATTTGGCAGAACTTGAGCCAACCAAGGTATTGTGTACAGTACTACACAAGGTACAGTACCTGATCACCATGCCGGGAAGATGGAGTTGGTTGTGCTACATGCCTTATACATCCCAATCATAATTCGGACATTCGAAGGTGATACTCAACTTGAGGAGCTGATGGCGGTGTGAAAACGCGATGGCGTTGCCAAGTGATACTCTGTCACATGGAATTCCTTCAGGGATAGAGTTGCCAAGGAGGCCGCTTCCAACGCTATGCACGATCACGGCATGGACTGCGGTTGCTTGGCGCCCAAGCACTCAGCTGCAGCGTGTCGGGTCGGGTCTGACATGTTCTGGACCGTGAAATTGGTGGCGGTCACGGATATCCACCCAGCTGAAAAAAAAAAAAAAGACAAGTGCGGTCGATATCTTCTTGTCCCGTTTCCCTCTTCTTTTGTACTTTTGGTGTTTCGCATATCTTGCCGAAAACAAGCAGACGGTCAATTGCCGTTGCGCAACCACGCAGTCTCTCTCTCTCGAGGGAAGCCTGACATATTTGCCAAGCCGTCATGGAGCACGAAAAGAACAGCCAACTGCACGACGAGGAGATCGGGGACTCCACTCAACTGCCGCTTCCGGTCCCTCGGGACGATGATCGGTTCTCGTCATTCTCCACCGGCGACAACAACTATGCAGACGGCGGCAAAGAGGTCACGTCGCCGATTGAACCCACATCATTCGAACCGGAAAAGCCCTCCATCCTGTCCCGCCTCGCGATACCGATTGCCCTCGTCGTTGGCGCCGCAATCATCGGAGGCGGCACTTTCGGCGTCGTCAAATATGTCCAGAACCTCGTGTCCCACGCGAGAGTCCACAATGATCAAGCAAAATGGAAGGCCGCCGCGCGCAGCCAGGTCTACGAAGCATGCTACTTTGGTTGCAACGACTGCAGCGACCCCAACTACGCGTGGAACGCGTGCCAAATCTCCGCCAGGGTCGCCGTCCAGGGAGTAATCTGCGACGCCAACAAGATGTGGAACTGGGCGAACGCCGACCGCTACCCGGACGCCTGCCTGGTCGAGGCCGGCAAGATCCTGGCTGCCGACGCCCTCAAGAAGCTGAAAAAAGATTACAGCGGTCGCTACGGTCTTGTTACCCTCACCGTCCTCGGCGGCCTGGGCGTGGGCTACCTGATCTACTACCTCCTGCGCAAGTTCTTTGGGCCGAAGAAGGAAACCGCAGACACCAAAGACTCGTCTGAATCCTCCTCCCACGCCGAATCTCGTCCTCCATTCTCCCTCAAGCGCCCCTCAACCTGGAAGTACAAGTCCGAAAAGAGCCATCACACTAGTTCCTCGACCTCTTCCAGCCGACACAGCGACAGCATGCCGCACAACTCCGCCGCCGCCGCCGCAGCCATCCCAGCCCACGACGCCAGCGCCTCCCTCCTCTCCTCCGACTCCCGCAGCTCCTCCCCGGGCCCTTTGGCATCCGACCCCTCACCACAACCCGAACGATCCAGCTCCGATTCCCGCCGATCCTCCACCTCGTCCCGCAGCAGCCGTGCCTCCTCCGGTCCCCGTCTCTCAGGCGTCCTCACCTCCGCCATCTCGATAGCAGCCTCAGCCCATTCAGCGGACGCGTACGCCTGCACGGGCCGCTCGGCGGCGCACGACCAGCACTTCGTCTCGCTCGCCACGGTCCCCGGGACCAACGCGCCCCGGATCTCGGGAGTCATCCACGGGTGGTTCAGCGACTGCCAGGACAAGAAGGACTGCAAGCAGAAGTGCAAGACGACGTGCAAGCGTGGCATAATCTCGGCGAGGTCGTGCAAGCAGTCGTGCAAGAAGAACTGCAAGAGCAAGACCAAAGAGATCAAGAAGCCCAAGGATTACGTCGACGACGTCGTGGCGAGGGTGACGGGGTGCGGGTTCAAGTTGGCGGACTCGGTGGGGCCGCAGACGGTCTTCGCGAGGGTCGGGAACCCCAAGATTGAGAAGGACCTGTGGGTCAGGGTCTCGGTCAGCGGGTTCAACGTGACGACGGCGGCGAGGACGGACAGGGAGGTTGAGTGCCTGTATGGCATTGCTGGGTGAGGAATGGCATCAACCTCAGCTTACCTACATGCCGAGGCATAGAGTGGGCATTGCTTGTTTTTGCTTTTTTTTTTTTTTTTTTTTTTTTTTTTTTTTTTTTTTTTTTTTTTTTTTGGCCGAGTTTCTTTTGTGGAGTTTTGGTATAGTCGTCAACAGGCTGTTTTTGCTGCTGGGGATAATTACTATGGTTCGGTGTTTGTTCGGTTTTTTTTTTTTTTTTTTTTTTTTTCCACTGTAAGCGAGCGATCTTGGATTTTACTTTGGGAGATTGGAGGATTTTTGTTTTTCCTTGATACCCTCTTTGGAAACGTTTAATGTTTTTTTTATATGCAATAATTAATATGACATGATGAGATAATATTTTGACAAAGTTTATTTTTTTTTCCCGGTGTACTTGGGTACCTACCTACCTACCTGATCAAATCACGGGGACTTATTACAGCTCCTGCTTGGTTTCATGATGTAAGAGAAAGCTTGAAAGATTTGAACTATTGCCGTTCCCAGGCCCAACAATGATGATGATGAGTGTTTATTTTTACTCTCTTAATAGAGTCTGGAAACTTACACCTCTCAATGCCTGGGTATTTAGATACATTTTGAGACCGAGAGTGCTTAATACTGAATTGTAATCCTACATCAGAATTGCAACCTTTGACATTATCCGAAGTACCTACCTATGTATGTCTGTAATTCTACTATCAGGTCAGAGCAAATTACCTCAGTTCAGGTTCCGATGTCTAGGTATGATTGAAGGGACGTGAATGGGATGTAGATTCTAAGTGGATCCATGGGTTTCTTACTACGTAACTTCTGTAGAGAAAAAATAGAAACCGAATATCAATCTCACCAGATCATTCAGTCTAAAACTGTTTACCAGGTGATACTGTCTCTTAAATTACCATTTGCAGCAAAAAAGTTAAATGTCGACCCACGTGCGACTCGAACGCACAATCTTTGGTGATCTCTGCAGACCGAAAACCAACGCCTTAGCCATTAGGCCAGCGGGCCTCATCTCATCATGTTTTTCTGTGGCATCTAGCCAGCATCTTGTTTCTCTGTCGTCCGCCATTTACAACTTCTCAATTGGCATGTAATTCAACTGCGCAACCACGCCAAGTGCTAGAAAGTGGGTAAGAAGGGCGTGTTTGATGTATATCAAAGTGTAGGCACTGATATTGCAAGCTAGACATATTTTGTGCCTTGGTGCTCTAATGTCAAAAGATCATGTGGAACAGCGCTGGCAGAAAAAAGGGTGAGCATGCCTGATTACCAAAACTTGGGAATTTAGGGTAATCAGAAGGCTGCATCGCAGTTACAAATATCTTCAGGACTGGCATTGTTTTAGGAAATCTGCCTTGTTGGTGGGGCCAAAATGCAACCGTCTCTGCGAGACATCGCGCGGACAATGTTGAAGTGTGGCATGGATGTGCAAAGTAAAATCATGTCTAGCTGTCTTGACAATCTCTCAAAGACTGCTTAACAATCACTCAGCTTGAAGAGTTCTAGGCAAAACTCATTGAAGCTTTTTGTTTTGCAAGGACTACCTGTCGAAGTATTTCATTCGTTACAAATAAAAAGATTGTGCTAAGGGTAGTAGGGACAGGCCACGAGACAATACGTCGGTGATGTTGGTTATCCATGAGCAAGCCAAAGCAACCAACCGCAGGATACAGTTGCATCCGTGCAAGGCAGCAGCCCATCACGTGTTAAGAAAAAGATATTTGTTCCGAGAAAAAAAAAGAGAAAACAAAGAAAGAATATAAAAAGAAACGGAAGGAAAAAAAAAAGGAAAACACTAAACACACCTATGTTCCAGAGGAAACAATGGAAGAAGGAAAAAACGAAGCCATACTCAACGTTCGGCGCTTGTATGATGCTGGCGTCCCATTCTTCACAAAGGATGCTCTGCGCCGCATGGCATCACTGCAAGAGACCGTCAAGGGCACCATGAACGAAAAAGTCTTGCTGGTTGGCTTAGAGGGACGCACTGCCGAGTTTCCCACGATGGGAGGAAAGATAAGCCCTAACCAATATCGTTTCTTAAATAAGCACAACAATATTGGGGTCGAGAGGGTATGGAAGAGCCGAATACGTTACGCCACGATCAACGATCTCATACGGACGGATGATCCCTGCGGCACCTTGCCCCCCGACGAGGACCTCTACTTTCCACTCACCTTTGGATATTTCATCCAACACCGCATCCAGGATACCAAGGTCGAGATCCATGAGGACCCCACGCTTGTTCAGCTGCCGCTGCACCTCGCCCGCAAGAACTTTGAGCGCGAGCGCGCGCTATTCCAGCGCGGCGAGCAAGTCGCCAAGCTGCGTTCTGTCCTGGATCCCTTGTGGCAATCGAACCAGCTGCCGACAGTGAAGAAGGTTGTAGCATTTGCGTGCGCCGGGGTTGCCTGGAAAGACGATCTCAGCGCTGTGCCTTCGCGTCAGCACGCGCTCGCCCTGTTTGTGCGGGACTACTTTGCCGAGAGACAAGGGAGCGAGGTCCAGTGCTTTGCCCAGGAGCCCACCTATAACGATGTCGACCGCGAGATCCTGGAAGATGCGGCAGTCGGCTTCAAGGTCCTCGAGGACCCATGGGGGTTCGTCGAGGTTGATGACGAGACGGCCGTGCTGGCATTTGCGCCAAACGTCGCGGTGCGTCAGATCGTTGCAGACTTGGCACGCCCTGCCTTGATGTTCTGGAACACTGGATGGGACCCCGAAGCTCACGATGCCCAAGGCCTTGACCCTTCGTCGTCGATTGTGCCGTCAAATTCGTATGTTCTTTTTCTTCCTCCACCTTCCCCCTCCTCGCCCACGTCCCCCTTACTAATCATTCAGATGCAGTACGGATCCCATGGCGCCCCGCCTCGGCAATATGTTGAAGGGTTACTGGGAACACCCGCTCACGGAGGACGAGGATCACACTTTTCATGAATCGGCAATGTACATACGCAAGCCAAAGGGTGCAGCCGAGGAGGGGGGTAAGCAATGAAGGCTTAAAGCAGCAGCACCCTTGATACCTTAGGTAGTCTTGCTGTCATGAAAAAAAAATCTCACACAAAAATTGAGCTCCCCTCGACCGGAATCGAGCCGGTGACCTTTCGGTAATCAATAAATTCCTTTACAGCCGAACGTGATAGCCAACTACACCACAAGGGGGTTTTTGTTTTTGTTAAAAGTGGAGTGGAGGATTCAAGCCTATCTTGAATTGTTGGGGAAGATGTGGTGAGTGGAGCCGTCTGCGGGTAATATGACTGACTCGGATCTCTGACATTTGCGATTTGATTTGATGAAAGTCCGAGGAAGAATTCTGCTCAGGCTCACCTTGTCAATTACTGTTAAGATCGTTCCAGGGAAAATATCTAGACGAATTCCGACGACCTTGTTGGTGCGAAATTAACACCGCCTTTGATACACTCGGGAGGTTGCTCGACATGCGGGCCTGACCGGAGCCCACTCAAGTGTCACCAGACACTACTGAGGGGTATTATTTTTCACAACTGAGGTCCAATTTTATAGGCAAAAAGACCTTATTCTTCCTTGATCCACCGATTGTTCAAATTTGACTTATGTATAGCGGGGTCATTGCGAATTGACCTCGTAGGTATCCAATAAGTGCAGGAGGTGATCTTTTTTGCGGAGAGCCGAAATGAACACACAGCTCTCTGAAAACCCACCGGCACCGCACCAAGATGACTGAATCGATACGATAGCTAAAAATTACTATACTGAGCCCGGCCACTATGAACGCCGCAGGCCGGGCTGGTAAAAGCATGTCAAACGTGTAAATCGACGATCAACTCCCTCACCGTATACCCAACCCCCCTTCAAGGACTAATGCGACACTGGAGTTCAATGATCATAGCATCGGTTCCATTCTACATTGGACTCTGGAAAGGAAGCCCCTATATAGCTGGGTAACTCCCTTAGAGGCCACAATTCTGCTCCCGCTTTACAGTTCATGTGTTGGGTAATTTCAACATCATTCGAAATAACCGTCACTACGACTTTTAGAGCCAGCCCATGGTTTTCAAGAAAAGCAAACTTTGAATAAGCCAAGGCATGATACCTTAAGTACGCCTTTCTTCACCTGTTGTCAAGTCTAGGTAATCTTTCAGAGTACCTACCAGGTACCTAGGTAAGGTGGTAGTCAACCCGCCTGGACTCAGCCTAATTCCATATCTTGAATAGCGGGCCCAGTAGTCTACCATGACAACAAACGCCACTGAAATGACCACCACTGAGCCCGCTAGCCACTTTCACAACCACTAATATTACCTTTGTCCTGTGGGTCACTTTAAAGAAACTGGTTTAGAGCAAAGACAAACCAATTGCACGCCCAGGTTTCACGTGTTGAAGTTTAACAGTCGTCGTTCGATTCACCAATCTCACCAGCCCGTAGGACCCACGTGGCCACTCCCCTGCTTTCCGTCACCAAGCACTGCCCCCATAGAATTTCGTTCAGAAGATCAATTCCCTTGCAAGAAGAAACTCTAATTTTTTTACAGTTATTTTTTAACCTGCGATCAGCCTTTAACAGGGGGTGCATCACCGGCGACCTTGGGCGGATTTCCTTCCGCCCTGGCACCGCTGCGCCTTGTCCGCGATGGGCCTGTTGGAAAACTTCCGCGTATGTAGACTCAAAACTGGCAAGCGAGGTAATTGGAATCGTATGCTGACCAACCCTACATTTTCCTTCTAATGTTCGTCCCACAGTCGATCCACTATGTTAGGTCACTCCACCTGACCTGATGTGCTTGAATGGCTAACACCACCGGAGCACCGCCCCGACAATGCGACATCATTTCTTGGCCCACTTTTCATCCTCTCCAGGTATTCAGCAAGACTCCAAGATATTCACTCAAAACGGGGCTTTGGGCGACAAATACGGGTTCCTCTCCCTGGAAGATTACGTCGACGATGATGGAGTGGTAAGCGTGTTCAAGCCCAGGATGGCTGGGTTCTCAGCATTGCCCCGTGGCTGAACCACAATAACTGGGTCAGGGGGTTTGCTACAAGCGAAGATAAAGAAAATATAAAAGGGCATACAGGTTGTTATGAAGAGACTCAACATCTCGCCACAATCTCGATACGCACAGGCTAATAAACTGTCCCACACCTGCCCACCATGGCACCTTCATTTCGCCGACTCGTTCCCGCTCTTCTCCCCTGTCTTGCGCAATGCTATTCGGCCGCTGCGTTTGGCCCCCGCATCCTCGCCGACACAAACCGAGACGGCATCGTCAACCACCTCGACGGCACCGATAAACATGGCTGGACAGACCGCAGGGGCGCTATCTTCCTCCCAAATATTGGTGATTCCCTCAGCCGCTGCCCGGCCGCCGACTTGACTGGCGCGCCTCTCTCCAACTCGGACCTCTGGCGCTGCAATGACGCCTCAGGAGACCGCTTACTTGCTAAAAGTGCGCGCTATGCCGCTCCGCTGTTGACGCTTCCCATGTCCGAGCTGTCCGACGACGCGGTAGGCCACATCTACACCGAGCCCGCGCATACCCGTAGCCGTGTACGTCTTTTCTGGAACGACACCAGTCCATCCAGTGGTTCCCCATACGAGTGGGCGGTCGTCGATAAACAAGTCACATTCAACGCCACAAGCCTCCGGCGCGGCATCTCCCTGGCCATCGACAGCCGCGAACTTGTTACCGACTCTGCAGTCTGGAACGGGTCCGTCACGGTCGTGTTCGAGGTGACCGACGGCAACCGGACCGAGCGGGATTTCGTGGCGCTTAAACAAGCTCCGGTTCTCTTGCACCACCATTTGCAGCCCGCCGAAGTTATCCTCAGCACTGCGGCGGGCGGCAACCAGACCATCGGGGCCGCCTGGCAGTCTCATTTCCTTCGAGGCCTGGATAACGCCGTCGCGGGGGACGTGCCGATCGTCCTGTTCAACCACAGTGACGACATCTGGGCTCAGGACTTTCTCGAGCCGGGCTTCGCCAGCATGCCCGGCCCCGACGGCCCCATCTCGATCCGTGTCCCTCTCC